ATTGCAAGGCTGCAAGAATTTACTCCTGGGACTAAACCTGTCTGGGCTGAAACTGGGATTAATTTCCCAGGACAGGGCACACTTCACTTGGCTCAAAGATGTTCTGCCCTGGTTGCTTAGGGCAGCTGTGTGTTTCCCAGCTTCATTTGCACATGGCCATGGTTTCCTGTCCTGTATTTGAAATTCTGTCCCATTTGAAGCTCAGAGGGAGATGAAGTTTTCTGGTCCTCTACTGAGTTAACCTGCCCAGGATTTACCCTGATTTTGGGCTCCAGAAACAGCAGAATTACAGCCTCTTTCACCAAGAATAATTCAGCCTCTCCAAGTTGGACCAGAGTTGCATCAAACCTGCAATGACCTCAGACATCACCTCCTCCAGGTGTTGCCAACCACTGCAGAGAGGACCATGTGCAGCTGCCTCACCCCTGGAGGTCACAGCTGGAAAATTACAGAGCAGTTTGCCTGTAAAAAAATGAACGATGGCAAGAACCCTCCTTCATCAGGGGGTTAAAGTGGCACTGTGCTGTGGATTGGAGCAGCTGAGGTGGGTGCTGTGGAGCAGTGATCCTGGCAGAAGGCTGGGATGGACAAGAGAGGGCAGTAATGTTTTAGGCTGCCACAGCTGAACCTGCTCCAGGATGTTTGTCCATCAGAGCCCTGCCTCCACGTGGGTAGGGACAGAGTTGGATGGAACTGAGGCTGCTGGAGCTCAGGTTCTCCTGATGAGTGAACACAGAACTTTGTGGAATTATGAGGTCATAGATATATTCACCCATTTCATTCTTGCTTGTCTTGTCTTTGAGAGAAACTCAAAACTGAAGGGTTTTGTTGCAAGTTGCAGTGGAAAATGAATAGCTCTGTTTGCTGAAGAAGTCTAATTTCCATCTTGGAAAGGAGAGAATTTGTCTGTCATTGGTCCATCCAGGTCAGTAGTCTGCCTTGTAATGGATTTCCCTGCTAAAGGACTTACAGTCAACACAGTGGCTGGTATTTGCTCTGTCACTTCTGTGTCATTCAGGATTCCAGTTCTCTTTTCTCTCTACTTACACCACCTCTGACAGCTGTGGCAAGAAGGTTCACAGGTCACTTTTGGATTATGAGGAGGGAAACCACTTCTGATTATTTGTTATACACCCGTCATAACTTACTGACATCCTCTCTCGTTTTCCTGCTGTGAGTGATGACTTATTTTTCTGAAAGCACCTTCAAGTCAATAATTTCCAGTTATCTTTGGGGCAGTGGTTTGTTTTTAGAGGCTCTCTTTCTGAGAGGTGATGGCCATAGTTGTAGGATGGCAGTAGGAAGGAATTTCTGGAAGTCATTCTGTCAGTGATGGATGATTCCATAAGACATTGAGAGAGGGGCATGCCATGAAATCAGCTTTGCTATCTAGGGAGAAATTCAGCTTGTGATTAAAAATACATTGTCATTTCTCCCCCTTTTCCCCCTGACATTAGTCCAACAATATCAGGTTATTATATAGAAGATGGCCTTTGGAGAGGGAACCAAGCTGTGGAACCAGGGATTTAAAGATATTAATGCTTCCTATAGTGAGGAAGAAAGCTGACCAGAAAACACTTTCAGAAGTTTTAATAAATTATTTAAGAATAAGGAAAGAAGGGGTGGGGGAAATAAAAGGGAATGAAATGTTCTCCTTGTGAGATGATGCTGAAGATGGAGTTGTGAATGGCCACTTTAGAGTCTTGTAGGCCTTGGTTGTTGGAGCACTGAGACTATTTTCAAAGCTGTGGTATCACAAAGTAGCTAATGGAAACATGGGTTTGAAGGTTATATTGAATTCAGTACAAGGTACTGTGCAAGAAAGAAACTGTGTGTTTAAGTGCATGCACATTTATATTTAATTGCAGGACTTTTGAAATGGAAAAATACTTGTGAGTGTATGCTTGAATGTGACTCTCATCCTCAATGTACTGCCTAAATCTGTTTGTTCCATTTTAGAAGACATCAGAAAAGCAATTTGATACAGCTTACAGTGTCCAGTACATGATGTTTTATATATATATATATATATATATATCTCAATACATTTTTTTTCCAAGTGAGAAAGGTGAGGATCTCAAGTGGGAAGAGCTTCTCTCTCATTGTTTGGGGCTCAGGTACCTCTTAGCCAGCAGCAGTACAATAAACAGTGCCAGATCAAAGCCTGCTTTCAGATCCTGTTCTCTTGCATAACACTGCTGTGCTTCAGTCTTGAAGCAGAAATTATTCTCTTACCAGTTGTACTCTTTAATTCTGAGAACTTTGACCTCGGTTTTATCAGTTTAACTAAAATGTCTGCATGAGAGTTGCTGTACACAGGCAGTGAAAAAGGCAAAGATCCTTTGCATAGCCCATGGAGGAAGTTTTCAAGAATTGCTTCAGGACCAGAGAATGTTCCAAGGAGGAGCTCAACTTGTGTTGCATTGGTTTTAGGGATCCCTTTGTTGTGGGATAATGGAAGGCAGGATGAGATTCTGCTCCTGACTTGCTGAGCTTTTTTAATGAACACTTTTTATTGTCATAGTTGCATGTGTGGATTTTAATGAAAACAAAATGGCTAATGTTGTTATTTTAAATGTAACAGTATTTGTTGTATAGCTATGCAGGAATGTTATGGTAATTTTTTATACTTCCCCCCCAGCTCTGTAATTCACAGTATCACCTTCCCCACCAGCACTGAACCACCTGATTTTGGTGATGCTTTCATAGACCCTTTGATAAATATTTAGATGGAACAGCTACAAAACCAGCCAGAGCTAAAGAAAGCTGGTAATTTGTCATAATAGGGTTTCTTCAAGCATGTAGGTTTATTGTCCCCAAAAACTTCTCCCAGAGATTTGCTGTTCTCAGGGGTTCAAGCCTGAACTTACTCTTGACCAGCTATTTGCTCTGATTTCAGCAGCCTTTTTTGCCTGAAGTGGTTCATTTCCCTTCCTAGTGGTTGTCTTTACTGTCTTATGAGGAGCAATTGCATCCCAGTCCTGTGGCTCCATTCTTCATGGCCATGGTGCCTGTGGTGTTAACACCTCAATGCACTTCATGTTCAGATTGCTTCCCAGCTGCCATAATTACTCTTTTTTTATATGCAAGCCATTAATCAGTTAAAAATGAACCAGAAGATTGATTGTCAGGGTTTGTCTTTTCATCAGTTACTTCAAGAAGCCTTTTCACAGAAGATTTTTCTTTCTGTGCTGTCAGGCACCATCTCTTTTGGGCAGAATCTTTACTGCTGTCACAATTCCTCTGTCTCCAAGTTTACACTTTTAATGTGATACCACATGGAAAAGTGTGTTTGTTGAATATCCAGATAGCTGAGACTTACTTGTATTTATTTTAAACACACTCCCAATAACCAACCTGTCTTCTTATGATCTCCTTGTAGCTTCATGTTCTGATTCTTCTTTGTCAGTCTTTGCTGAAATCTCACGTGCTGTTGATGAGTTCTGTAGCCTTTCTTACATGTGGCAAGTTTGTGAAAGTACTGGCACTAAAATCTTGAAATAAATTTGCATCTTCTGCATTTTTAGAGATTTAAGTATAGTTGACTTAATTGAATGAGCAGTTGCATGTGTTGGTTTTGTTGGAGGATTTAGAAAGCAGAAAGTTGCAAAAAGCACTGTGTGTTTTTAAAATATTTGCCTGGTCGTGTTTTCCTTCTCTTGAGTGGCAGTGGTGGGAGGTGATGCCCTTCCAAAAGCCAGAAAATGTGTTTTGACATAAAACTGGCCTTGGACAATGTCCCAGACTGGATGGATGGCACTGACTGTGTGCAGGACAAAAGCTGAGCTGGGTGGGTGGGCGTGTGCAGGGTAGCTGGTGTTTCCTGGCACAGTTTGATTTCTAGAGCACAGTTTTATCTGAAATAGGATGGAATTGAGCAGTTTTTCGATGGCATCATGTCCAGGGTCAGCATGAACCTGCCTGCCTGGTCCCTATTGCTGTTCCTCTGCTAACACTGTCACTGTCTTTAAGTGTCTGAGTGTTCCATCCCTGCTTACATCCTCTGGCAGGTCCTGCTGGGTGTCCTAATCAAACATTTATATTTGCAGACTCTGCATCCTGGTTAAAATAATTTATAAATGAAGTGATCCATGTGAGAGGAGCACTCTTTGTTCTAACAACTAGCTAGAGGAGTGGTGGGTTATAGAAATGCTTTGTGTTGGCTTTTGTGATACATTAACTTGCTGGGCACACGTTTACAGAACCTTTTTTCTTTTTTTTTAAAGGAAAAACTGGTTTGCAGTCTGGTAAATCTGAGTGTCTTCAGGGCTTTTCTCATTTTTGAAGTTTGGGTTGTAGATTTCTGCATGAAACTTTCATGGTGTGAGGCTTGTGAAATTAGATAACATGCTTTAAACAAGCCACCTCTGGGTAAGGTACATCTCTAATTACTGAGACTAAATTATGTGGAAAGTGAGCTGGTGTCTGAAGTAAATCTCCAGTTCAGTAATCTAAAATTAAATAATGATTAGCTTAATTGCTTGAGGATCATAAAAAACACTCTTAATAAAATACAGGGATTAATTGTGTGTTCTCAGAGCAGATAATTGCTTCTGCTTCATTTTCAGTAACTTCTCTCAAGACAGGGTTTGGAGGTAAGAGAAATAAAATAACCTTTTGTTATGCTGATTAGTAAAGCCAGGAAAAGTAGGCTAGTTCTTATGTATGCAAGCCCTTGCTCCTGTCTGAACAGAAGCTGCAATTTCACTATTAGTGGCAAATTTAGAACACTTGCTTTTAATTTCATAGATGTGTGCCAGTTAGTCCCTCTGAAAGCAATAGTAGTTGGTACCTGTGGAGCTGAGTGTAGTAATATATATGTGAAGAAGGATCAAGTAGGGTTTTTTCCTTCAGAGAAAGGAAAAAGAGTCATAATTTTACTAAGAACTGTTTGGGTTATTCATTACCTGGGTTGTCAGCTGCTTGTTTGCATTGCATTTTGCTTCTAAACAAAATACTTTTTACCCTCATTCACTGGAGAATGTCTTTTTTGCTTATAGGCAAATGAGAAAGCAAATCTCTTGAGACATAAGCAGTGGTACTTCCCTGGAGGGAGGAGATGGGGATTCTCCTGTTGCTCTGAGTGTTGCCAGGTGCCAGAAGTGGTCCCCAGTGGTGGTGGTAAGAAAGAAATCTCCCCCCACATTTCTGTATTTGTGTTTTGTCTGTAGCAATGTGCTTTTGGGAGGGGGAAAAACTGGGTGTGCAAATCCTGTTATTTTCATGGACCTGCATGAACTGCTGGGAGAGGTGTCAGATGTCTCCCACTCAGAGAATTTTAGTTTAGGAATGAAATCAGCGCTTGAGATTGTTGCTGCTGCTGTCTCATGTGTGCTGTATCATTGCAGCAGAGATTTAACCATGAATAAACCTACCAGGGACTATAGAAATACTGATCTGTCTCCTTCTTTAAATGTAGAAGGGGAACTATGTCCTTACTGTGCTTGAAGGACCTCCTTGATGGGGTTCATAGAAATCTCAGCAATGCTGGCTGGGGTCTTCCTAGGCTGTCTTTAATCTGAACACCTTTAAATTTTATCCAATAACTGGCTATGAAAATGTTAAGCATCTCAGCAAGCTTCCTATTTTTTGTCTTTTTTTGCAGTCTGTCCTACAAACAGTGACAGGGAAAGTGGAAAGCTGCTGAGACCCTGCTGACACAGCAGCAGAGCAGTTTTCTTTCAGGACAAAATCTTAAAACCCGTGGTTATTGTCAGATGTTGACATATTAATGATGATCTCTAATACACTGCCCCTTTTAGGGGCTATTAGTAGATGTTTTTGGTAAGCAAATAATTTAATATTTGTGGTTTTGCAAAGACTTGAATTATTGCTTTGGTATTCTATCACCTTTCAAGGTCTATTGCAGGACAAGTAGTCTCCCTAAAAATGGTAATTTCTGTGAGATATTTCTCAGAGCTGTTTTGCACATTCTGGAACAGCCACAATCTGTGTTCAGGGCATGCACTGACCCTGTGCAAAGCTACATCCCTTTAAGATGTACATTTTCCTGCTGTAGAGGAAGTGAAAGCATTGATCCCAGCTCATTAGGTGGGCAAACAGACACTTCCTGCAAGCCCAAAATATCCTTGGGTCAAAAATTTTACTCCCAAAAATTAGCTATTGCAGCTGAACCTGGCTGAGTGCCTGCAGCTTTGGTGTGTGGAGGGACACCCAGTAGTTGATTTATTAAAGCAGCCTTGTCCCAGTGTCATGGTGACCAGCTGCTTTCAAAACTGGTTGTGTAAAATGTTTTTGCCTGTTCTTGTTGACACTGGTGTAGGGGCAATGCCCCAGAAACACAAGAAAGCCCTTTTTTATCTGGTTGCTGTTTTGTATGTTACTTTTCAGCTTACATGGCTGCAATCTTTGCTTTTCTTCTTTGTGTGTAAGGCTTGAAAAGGCCATTGATGAGTTACTGAGAAGCTAAAACATGCTGGGGTGGGAAGGAGCAAGATTTTGGATTGTGACATCTCTAGAAATCTCAAGCTGTGCTTCTGTTCAGAGAGGAGAAAATCTGAATTTCTCATACCCAGGCCTGCAGGGTGCCAGGCCTGTTACGTGTGTGGTGCTGCCTGGGTGTCTTGTCTTGGGTCACTAGAACTTGAAACAAGGAATAATCTGGAAATTAAATGCTCTGAGTGAAGTGAATGGCCATGCTGGAAGCTGCATGGATTGAAAAAAACCCCTGAATAATCCCTTCAGCCTTCACTTTCTTAATTGCCACCCAGATGATGAGAGCGCTGGACCTCCAATGTGAGGAAAGGTTGAGAGAATTGGGATTGCTCAGTCTGGAATAGAGAAGGTGACTTCATTGTGGCTTTCCAGTGCCTAAAGAGAGCTGGAAAGAGAAAGAAAGATGGAGAGAGACTCTTTACAAGGGTCTGGAGTGACAGGACAAGAGAGAATGGCTTCAAACTGAGAGTGAGCAGGGTTAGATCAGATATTGGGAAGAAATTGTTCCCTGTGAGGGTGGTGAGGCCCTGGGACAGGTTGCCCAGAGAAGTTGTGAATGTTCCATTCCTGGAAGTGTTCAAGGCCAGGTTGGATGGGGCTCTGAGCAACCTGGGATAGAGGCAGGAGTCCCTGCCCATGGCAGTGGGGTTGGAACTGGGGGATCTTTAAGGTCACTTCCAGCCCAAACCATCCCGTGATTCTGTGATCTGCTGCTGTTGTCCTTATTGTGTGTCTTACTGGGGGGGATTTATCTCTCAAACCTATCAATGTTATAACTTGTAGAAATTTCTGGAAAAGTCAATTTTCATAAAAACTTAGTTGAGACCACAAAGAGGAAAACAAAGTAATCTTTGGATTCATCAGGCTAGACCTGAGAGCAGCTCACAAAAGCAGTCATGGCAGTCACAGTTTCAAGAGTTTCTACAGTTCAAGCAAGGTGAAATGTAAATTATATGGGAAGACCAGTTCCAGTCCCTGTTTTCATATTTAATTTACCAATGTGGAGGCTGTGGTGAGGTTTCAATCCTGTAAGACAGGCCTCTCCCCTGGCAGAGTGATGCTCTGAGAAGCTGCTCCCAGAGGTGTGATCCCTGCTGTTGGTCTGGTTTTTAGGCAGAGTCAATTTTGTGCAACTTGCAGAAGTAATGTTTTCTCCTATCTGTTTTTCATAAATAGCCACTGAGTTGTTGCACATTTTATTTGGAGGAAAGGAGCATGAGAATGGGGTTTTTTTCTGTGGCACTCACTTTTACTCTTCAAAAACTGCACCCCATTAAGCTTTGAGCCTCTTTCCCAAGGAAAGACCAGCCTTGCTGAACAATTCTGGATATGTTTATGGCTGGAACCCAGCACTGTTCAGCCCTGCCAGGGTGGTCACTGCTCTGGGCCAGCACAGGATCCATTCCAGCTGTGGGTATCTGCTGGTGGAGCTCAAGGACCGAACTTGATCTCCTGGGGATGTTTATTTTGAGAAGGAAAAAGTAATCCAAACTGAAAGTGCTTTCTTAGAAGTCATAATGGCATTTACTCTTTCATAATTGTTTTGAAAATGTCAGAGTTTCTGTGGGAGCAGTTGTTTTCACATGTGGAAGTTGTGAAGGCCACACATTCAGCACCTTTGGCAGTACTTTCCAAAGCAGCAGAAAGCACAGATTTAAACACAAATACTGTCACAGGATGTGCTTCAGGACAATATTACTGTGCCTTAGAGCAAGGCCACTTCTGATTCAAGGCTTCATTTGCCCAATCTCTGCACCTGTGTCTCCCTCTGGAAAGAGCCTCCCTTTTCTCCTTGGTTGTGGTGTTCAAGTTTTGTTGTAGTTGAGATGGAGACAATACAAAGCAACACACTCCATTTTCAGAAGGCCTCAAACAGTTTTTATTATGGCATGCATGCTTTTTATACATTCTTACAAAACTATAAGTTTACACTTTACTCATTGATCACAAGAGACAAACAATGTGCTTATTGGAATAGGCAGTTGCAGGTTTCTCTTATTTATCCTTCTTGGCTTCTATGTCAATGACCTTGGTGGAAAATTCTTTCAGGGGTAAACATGGATCCTCTTATCAAACTTCTCTCTGGCTCACAGAAGTAGCTGTAAAACCTCTTCCACAAAGTTTAGTGGGATAAGAGATGCCCAAGAGTCAGTCAGACTGAGACTGAGGAGTTAAAGATTGCATAACCAAATTGTAATTGCAAAGGGCTGATAAGGGACACCTTCCAAAAGCTGAGCAAGCCCCCTCCTGTGGGATGTATGGAAAGGACAAAAAGGACAGAGGGAAGAGGCTCAGGGCAGTGTGAGCTGGTGATGGGGCTGCTGGGCCCTTGTGGCACTGCAGGACCTGGGGCATTTTGCAGGTCCCTTCTTTGCCATGGCTTTGTGAGCTTTGTCAACTTGTTCAGTTCAAAGTCATCTGGATACTTTGGATCCATGTTTCAAGATGGGAACAAAATGCCTAAGCATCATCTTGTGCAGTTCCTTTTCCTGTGCTGAAGATACAATAATGCCTCTTATTACTGTCCTGTGTGCCCTGGGTTAACTGTTCCCTAATGTCTGCTGAAATTATCTGCTTTACAAAATACAAAACATCTCAAAACACAACCCAAACCTAAAAAAAACCCTCAAACCCAACAGTTTAGCTGAAGATATATCTTGTTGGTAGAGATGTGGGATGAGTAATAACTGTAAAGGCAGTTATACAAGCAAACCTTGAGGACATGCTGACCTTAAGCTTGAGTTTAGAGTGAGCCTGTGGTAGTGCCTGGGAGGAGAGAATTATGAGCACTCAGTCAAACCAGGCATAGAAAAAATCTCCCAGTTGCCTGGAAGTAATGAACTTACTGACAGTAAAATACTTCTGATTAAGGCAGTGAAGTTTCAATTATTCCAGTTATTTAGAAATCTGGTTTATTACAGTTAAGGTAAAAAGAATTTAAATAGAACTAATAAAAAGTAGTATGTGTTTAATGGGCTTAAAAGTGAACAAAATCTGCAGATTCAAGAAGTAATTATACATTGCTGAGTAAATAGCATGAAGTTTTTTGTTCTAGGTCTTGATTGGGGAAATATCAATTCTTTTAGATTAGTTCTGGTAAATAGACCAGGCTGCCTGTTTGTTTATTTTAAATGAAGCTAGTCTGGTTTGCTAGACTCATTGTCTATAAATGTGTCCTGTGTTAACACATTGCATTGAACTGCAGGCAGTTTGTAATACCCTTGAATATCTGATTTTTTGGGCATATAATTGCACATGAGCTGAGGGTTATTCTGGCAGATAAAAATGAATCATAAGAGCATAAATGCTGCTTCTCAAACTGCTACACAGCCTGACTGAGGAGCTTTTGAAGAGCAGTGCCAAGCTAGCAGTGGTGACATCCATAATTCCAGTTTGGCACATAGGGTCTTTTGAATATGAAGCTTTGGTACAGTGAACTCCTCTCTTTACTAATTAGCTTCTAATTTTTCAAGTGATGGGGAGCAGTTTTTGACTTGGCAGTCAAACTGTTCAGAAATGCTGCAAGCTCCAAGAGAAGTGGATGCTCACTTTTATACCAGCAATTTCACATTCTGCATTTCTTCCAGGACTTAATAACTGTTCCAGCAGGAAACAATTTCTGCTTTGGTGTTTTTTTGTGTCTCTGACAGAAGTGGAAGGAATAC